CGCGTTGCGAAAACCCGATGCTTCTTTAGCGTATTCAAAAGATTATTTTTTGACGTTTATCATAGAACTTTGTTAGGTTTTGACAGAAGTCATTTTATTTTCGTGACAATACAATTCATTAATATTAGAACCAATAAAATGCCAGTATTCCATAGTGACGTATTTTATCACAGCGGCAATAATTTTTATCATCTTGTTTACACGTTACTAAGAATTTTGACACTTTTTTTGATTTAACATCTGTTGTCATTTAAATTCTATATTTGATATATATCAATAAAATAATGAATTATAAACTCTAAAAGATCGATGGGTTGGTGTAAACGATAATGAAATTAAGGTAAGTTTGAATAAATAAGGTTTATTAAAGTCTTTTTATATTTTAAAGCACATTTTAATTTTAAATGTCAATCTGACAAATTTTTTAATTCCTAAAATTCATTATATTTTCTCACTAAATATAACTCGTGGTATGATTAATTATCGATGATATTTACTCATTAAAACCGAAGCAGCACATTTCACTCGTCCTGCGGACTCGTGAAATCTGCAGCTCGGTTTTAATTCGAAAATATCATCGATGATAATCATACCACTTGTTATATTATGGGTGAAAATAATGTACAGTAGGGTGGAGTGAAAAATTGTTTTTTCCTTTGGTGTAATAGTTACAAAAAGATTCCTTTAGGGTCAAATAATATCCATACCAATTTTTGATTTAATCGCTTTATGTTAAGTGGGTCCTCCAAACCCATTAATGTCAGAAGAAAAGTTGAAAATTATTTTTTTTTTAAATTTTTATATAGCAGCATTCTCTGCATGTAAATATGAATAATAGCAAAAGTTATACTAAAGTTAGTTGTTTAAGCAATATTACAAAAAGTGGTAACTGTGATCCATCATTTATAGGGCCTGCCACGACCTTAAATTAAACTTTATATTTCTTTATTTAATTGCTCTCAATCGAGCTCCATACTTGTCCATAAGTTATGGAGTGGGAGTTATATTAAATTAAAATTTATAATTACAAATTATTATTTATATTAATTTGTAATTATAAATTTTAATTTAATATAAAAGTCCAACTTTTGAAACCAAAAAAGAATATAAATTTAAAAAGTACCTAAATAATATTTTTTCAATGTCGTGAAAGTCATAGGTCCTAGGTTAGGTTGGTAGGTGGGGCTGGGAGGTGTAGGAGCTCGATAAGCAGTCACCTCCGAGGTCACCTCCACGCGGTGAGCTCAGGTTTTTTTATTTAAACAAATTAAGCAAGGAACTGATTTGTAGTAAACGTGTAAATAGTGATATTTTGTGAATATATTAATTCTGGTGGACCCTGTAAACACTAAAAATGTTATTAAAACCATTTTGCTTTGTAGGGATATGTATAAACTACAGGTTTTTTTGCTATTAGACAAAAAAAGTTAAAATATATTTTAATATGCCTTTAAATTAATAGACTTTTTATCAATAAAATTTGATTTTTTAAAGACTCGGAGGACCCTCAAGACAATTTTTTATCTTAAATTGCAAAAACTTTTTGAAAATAAAACAAAGGCAAGCAACTTTTTTTAACTATTAGAAATCTAAAACTAAAAAAAATTGTTTTTCGCCTTTTTCACTCCACCCTAATGTACCTACAGTAGGTTATTTTCATTCATAATATAACAAGTGCCATGATTATCATCGATGATATTTTCGAATTGAAACCGAGCTGCGAGTGAAATGTGCTGCTTTGTTTTCAATGAGTAAATATCATCGATTATTAATCACACCACGAGTTATATTAGGTGAGAAAATATAATGAATTTTAGGATTTAACAAATTGTCAGTTTGACATTTTTAAATTAAAATGTGCTTTAAAATATAAAAAGACTTTAATAAACCTTATTTGTTCAAACTTCATTTCATTTTGTTTACACCAACCCATCGATCCTTTAGTGTTAATGATTCATTATTTTAATCATATAACAAAAACAGGATTTAAATGTCAACAAATGTCAAATTAAGAAAAGATTCAAAATCCTTAGTAACGTGTAAACAAGGTGATAAAATTATTGTAAAATGCGGATGGAATACTGTCATTTTATTGGTTCTAATATTAATGAATTGTTAGGTCACTAAAATAATGTTTTAATTGATTAAAAAATACACACATGAATTTGAAATTTTCTATTGGTTTTTAGAAACGTCAACCAATAATCTAAAAATTATATTCGAAATAGTTTTGCAAAATGGCGAATGCGCCGGGATCAATAACACAAATAAAATTATTTTCGATAAATAGGTATTTAAATTGTATATTTTTGTTGATGGTTTAATTTTTTAGGATGTGTTTTTGTTATTTAATGTAAATTATAACACATTGCCACACTATGGAAAAAGTAATCACCATAATAGAATAAAAGTACTGTATAGCCATGATAATACTTTCATACCAGAGTAAAACTCTTGCTAGGTTTTGCGAGTTTAGCTAGTTTTTTGTTTTTTAACCTTGTATATTTTGAGAACCAGGAATTATTTTATGAGTTCGCTATATAGACCAATTAATCTTGAAGTTCATGGGGGTTCAGGTACGTACCCCCCTTCGAAATCAGAAAAACCAAAATTCAATATTTATTTATAATAAAATAAACATATGTTTATATTATTAAGAAAGTGCAATTTTTTTTAATCCTGAATCTGCCCCTGACCCTTTTCAATACTGTGTGTTTCCTAAATACCTTTTGTATCTTTAGAACGCAATTCTTTGAGATAATTTTATAAAATAAATTATAAATGCATATCTCCTAAAATGCTGTTTTACTGAGATACAGGGTGTTTTTAAATAATTTTTAACACTTTGTATCTTAAAATATAAGTATTAACGGACCTACGTTTATATTAATCTTTTTTTCTTTTATATTTTTTAACAAATCCGGTGGTTCAAAAATATTATAAAGATTTTCTTTCTTTATTGACTTAAAACAAAAGTTCTTTTTTTGAGCATTTTGAACGGATCATTTTATATTTGTAATTGATTTGAAAAAAATGTTATTTTAAAAAACACTCAGCATAATATTTTTAAATTTTAAACAGCCTGTTTGGATTTAGCGCCATTAAAAATTACCGTTTATCAAATTTTGTTGTTGTTTTTTGCAATTTATTTATTTAAGTTATTAAAAAAATAACATAACATATGGCACCCACATCTTAGTATGAAAGCATTATGAGACATACTATGTTTATATAAACTTTTTTTTTAAATCTTAATTATTTGTACTTACTTAAAGGGGGTTCAAGAAATGTTCCCTAATTTCTTCAGATAATCAGTTTATAATTGAAGACATAAGTGTTTAAAGGTGTCATGTCATATTTTTAATAAAAAGAGGACAAAAAACTTTGAAATTGTAGGATTAATGAAACTTAATTAAAGATCACGTTAAGATTTAAAAATAAATTTTAAATTTAAATTCCAATGAGTTTGTCCTTTATTAATAAAAATGCGGAATGACACGTTTATCCACTTTTATGTCTTTAATTATAATATAAATAAATTTTGTTTCTTCTGATCCGGCAGGCGAAGAAGGGTTCCATATTTCGTTTTTTATCATAATAATTTAATTAAGCTTGTTTTATTTATTAATTTATTTATTTAATTAAAGTCGACAACAGTAGATAATTTATCTTCAAAAAACGCAAACTTTAAGAGGCCATAAAAATGCGAACTAATATTTGGGCTGAAATCGATGACCCAAAAGCATCAACAAAATTAAAATCAAAATTTTTTTATTATTACTTACCCATTACTTTTTTAAATACATTTTGGACCGATTAAAATTAGTCCAAAATGTATAATGTATAATAATTATTCCAATTTTAAAAATATATACTTAAAAAGTTCTCATGCACTCAGTGAAAATACTCTATATGTATTTAAACTCATTTTTTTTAATAATTAAATCGGACAACTGTAATATTGCAGTAAATTTATTAAGTCAAATATACATTTTTAAGATAATTTTATTACTAAACTAAACTTTCACCTATTGTAATACAATACATGCTATGTTGCAGTATACAATAGATATTTTTTCATTATTATTTTATTATTAACTTTTATCAACACCTATAAAAAATTAATATTAAACACAATGATTAACAATTTTGTTATTTTTTCTCAAGAGTATAATATCTATATAGAAAGACAATTATTATAAAACTCTATACAAAAATAAAGCCAAAAGGTCATTATGTCAGTTGAACTTAACCTAGGCTGTGAAATGTATGCTCGGCAATAAGTGCTTTTTCCGCCTGGTCTATAATCTACCAATTTCAATATTATTGTGAGATAAATTATATCATTTATTTTTATTTTTTTGTAAAAACTGTTATTGTTTAATCAAGACCGAATTGACTTGGGCCAGATTTATGAGCAGGATCTATTTTACTACAGGCGTACGTGTATGGCGGGCAAAAATGCGCTACAGCAGGAAAAAAGCCAATATAAAAAACGTAATAAAAATTGGATTTTGCCATGCTCAATGCGTATAGTTTTGTGGGTTTGAAAGTAGCTGCAATACCTACAATATAATAATATGTGTTATAAAAAACCAACACATTGGCAAAATATTTCATATCTTTAAAGCTACAATAAAAATACCCGAGCAGTTATTGCCAAAATAAAAATTAACTGTTACCAGAAAAAAATAATTCATCCTCTCGCCAGTGTAAATTCGTTTGGCAAACACGTAGTTATTGGATTAGCCGTGTGATAGCAATTACATTGCTATCTCGCGTTGCCGACTGCGGTTCAACTTTGGCAATTACCAAAATATCCAACTTTTTTTACGCGCGCAAGGCAAAAACAAGCGAAACAACTCGCTTATGATTTACCTCTATCCACAGAAAAGTTTTCTTGTAAAAGTTTTGTTTTGCTTGTGTTTCAAAGGCCTGAAATTACTCAGAGGAATGCGATAGAAAATGCAAAAAAACTGATTTTCTCTTTTTCTTTACAGAATATTAACGTTTTGCTACATAGCAGCGTTCAATTGGTGGTTGCTGCTGTGTCCTTCCACCCTTTCCCACGACTGGCAAATGGGATCTGTCTCTCTTGTGACATCACTTGCCGATTCCAGAAATCTAGTTACCTGTTTCTTTTTTGCAATAACATTTTTGTTGGCTGTCATAAGTTTGGCAGATTTTGAGGTAAGTTAATTCATAAAATAAAATACACTGTGCTACAAAAATGCTCTTATATTTGTTGCCTATAAATTATATGATTGCATAAATATGTACAGGGTGATCCCTATAATGTCGCCCCCCTTTAGTTTTTTTTATTTTAAGTGTCCCAAAAAATTTAAAAGTGTGGTTATGTAGGTACTAAAAAATATTTTTTTCTACCTATAAAGAAAATTGGAAAATTGATCAGTATACAGGGAAAAACAAAAGGTATATATTTTTTCAATGTATCACCTATATATGTATTTATTTTTCGATTCCTTGTAAAATTCTAAGCATATTTTATATAATATACCATATACCTAAATTCAACCGTTTCTGAAATATTTAAATTCTTTTTAAGATAGTAATTTATTTTCAATAAAAATTTTGGTATACTTGGGGCTTCTTTTAAAAGAACATTTAATGATAACATTTCGAATGCAAATATTTCAGAAACGGTTGAATTTAGGTATATGGTTTGTTCTATGAATTATGCTCAGAATTTTACAAGGAATTGAAAAATAAATTCATATATAATTCATATATAGTGTGGTCCATTGAAAAAAAAATAAACTTTCTCCTTTTCCCTGTATATTGATAAATTTTTCATTTTTTTATACGTAGAAAAAAGTGTTTTTATTACCTACATACTTTTTTTAAATAATTAGCTATTTAAATTTAGTAAAGCAAATGTGCTTATAAGTATTTTTGGAAGTTACACGTTAATTTACTATAATTGTAATAATTATTATTAATATTATTGAAAATTAAGCGAGATATACAAACGTGATGCCGCGCGCACTGCGCCGCAGTCTTCCCCAATGCGCATTTTATTTTTAAAATGAAATTGTGCCTTTTGCGATGTTGCTGTTAAGTCACAGGCACCTTTTTTTTAACAAAAAATACACAATGACGTCATAAACTAATGGGTAAAAAGAAACCAGAAGTAAATTGTGCATGGAGTACACAATATAGAAATTGGGTTGCGAAATTATGTCAAATGTCACTTTGAAAACACTACTAATAAAGAGGCTCACGAATGAAGTATTTTAAGTAACAAATAAATTTTATTTTTTAATATTATATATTTACCAGTATTACCTTCCTTTAAATTTACTACATAGATTAACAGAACAGAACAGAACAGTACAAGTTCAAAATACATTTTTCGCCCAGCACATATAAAAATGAATCATATCAAACCTAAAAATATGACCGAAATAATATTTATTGTCTCTAGGGTCGGTAAACTCATATCTTCCCTAGGGCCGCTAAACTTGATTTTTGTAGTTTTTCACAATCTAGACACCTTTCACTGACATTTATGTATTTTGGCATTTGACATTTTTACATTTGAGATTTTCAGACGATTGTGTAAATCAAAATAAAAACGGACAACAAAAGTATAAAATAACATCAAAACCTGATTTAAATTTTGTAATGAAGTGAAAATGAATGGTAACTCGGACAATAACGAAAAATTTACGAATACTTGACCAGATTTGAAGAAGAGGAAGCTAGCAATGTTTCTATGAATTAAAAAAAAAATTATTTGATGCTAGGCGAAAAACACACGACGTGTGACACACGTTCAGAAAACGCATTAGCAGCCCTTAGCTATCAACTGCCCTCGCTTCGCTTCGCTCGCTCGGGCATTTAATAGCCGCGGGCTGCTTAAGCTAGTTTTCTGACCTTGAGACACAATATACTATACAAATACAATACAAATTCTTTATTTGCTCAATTACATACAAAAGATGTTTAGCATCGTCCCAGAAGTACAATTTGAATATTGCATAATTACAGATTACATATTTATAGTAAAAATCCCAATAATAACAATTATAATAAATAATTATATATAATTAATAACAGTTAACAAAAATAAACTTAAACTTAAAAGTGTTTTATCTATTTAAAAATTCATCAATAGTTTATGGACAGATCTCCAAAATTATTTGTTTAATTCTCTTTTTAAAGGTTAAAATAGGTAGAGCTTCTATTTCAGTTGGTAGGAAGTTGCATAAAATAATAGAGTTATTTAAAAAACTTTTATGAGTTAAATGTAACCTATGTTGGGGTATCAATAGTTGATCACCAAATCTGGTGCCATAGGCATGTCTGGTATTTACTGAGATAAGTTCAGATATATGAGTTTTTGTATAGATTAGGCACTGATATATATAAATACCCACCAAAGTGGGTAAATTCAATTCCTTAAAAAGGGTTCTACATGAGTATTCTGTTTTTTTTTTAGTTATAATTCGAATTGCTTTTCTTAAATAGTAAAGATCTTTTTCCACTCAGCTGAGTTTCCCCAATATAACAGGCCATATGATATCTTGGATTGAAAGAGACCCATATAGGCAGTTCTGGATATATCAGAATTTGTTAAATCTGCAATTTTCCTCAAAAGAAAGAGTGTTGATGATAATTTATTTGATTAATTTAATATGTGATTTTTCCAGCTTAATCTACTATCTAGATATACACCAATAAATCGTATTGTTTTGTTTGATTCCTTTTCCTTAAGTGTAAAATTCATTAACTCAGTCTTTTCTAGGTTTAGCAAAAGGTTATTGTCAGCAAACCAGCTGTGTAGTTTTTGTAGTGTTTGTTCTGTTGATACCTCAAGATTTTTATAGTTTTTGTCATTGTCAAGAAAAGTATTGTCATCGCAGTACTGAATGGATTTTATTTCAGAAAAATAAGCTGGTAATTCATTAACATATAGAATGAAAAGTATGGGCCCTAGTATTGAGCCTTGCGGTACTCCTGCTCTTACAGTTTGTGTTGTTGATACTGTGTCATTGTAATATGTAACTTGTGTGCGGTCAGACAAATAAGAAATTATCAGGTCCGAGCTCACCCCTCTTATACCATAATATTTTAGTTTAGTGATAAGAGTCTGATGACACACACAGTCAAATGCCTTCGACAGGTCACAGAAAACAGCAGAGACATCCTCAGCCCTCTCAAAGCATCCAACTATATGCGTCAACAGCTCCCCCAAGGCATCACTGGTTGATCTATTTTTTCTAAACCCAAACTGAAAAGGAGATATTAGGCTATGTTTTTCTAAAAAAGGAATTAATCTGTTATTAAAAGCTGCTTCAATGGGTTTAGAGAGAACCGGGGTAATGGAAATTGGTCGGTAATTTCCTGGTTCGTTTTTGCTCCCTTTTTTATATATAGGAATTACTTTTGTAAGTTTGAGCTTTTTTGGAAACTGACCTGACTGAAAACATTTATTTATTAAAATAGAGAGTGGTAATGTGATACCAGGCGCTAGCCGTTTTAGTGTTTTGTTTGAAAGGCCAAAAATATCTTGTGCTGTGCTGTTGCTTAAATCATTTAGGATTCGACATAATTCAATTTCTTCGGTTGGCTTGAGGAAGAGACTACTGCAATTGTTTATTAAATGAGATGTGGTAATTGTAGGATCATCTCCAGTTTTTTGTAGAGTTTGTGTAATTTCTTGTGAAATATTTACAAAGTAGTTGTTTAATATCTCTGAACTTAAACTGGACTGTGGGTTATCTTTTTTATTTTTTGTGTTTGAATTTATGATTTTCCAGATTGAATTTGATTTATTTGTACATTTTTTTAATTTTTCAGAGAAATATTTATTTTTTGTCGCGTATATTTTATGTTTATATTCTTTTTTGAGTTGTTTTATTAAAGGTGAGATGTCAATATTTGAATTTTGATTATTAAAATGAGTTAAGAAATTAAGATTTTCCCTAAGGGACTTGATTTCAATGTTGAACCATTTATTATTTTTGTTTTTATTATGTATGGTTTTTGTTTTTTTAGGGAAAAAAGATTCTATGGCGTTTAGTAATATACTTAAAAAAAGGCTAAATGATGCATCAATATCCAAATGATCCAAGCAAGAGCACCAGTCAATTTCATGCAGAAAACTTATACATAATTCAGTATTGTCATTACAGAAAGACCTAAAGTAATGGATAGAAGTTTGATTGTTTAAAATGTTTTTATTTATATACCTGTAGGAGCTTGTTATCGCCATATGATCAGACATGTACGTGTCCCATAGGGCAACTTCACATTCAGCTGGTGTATTAGTAATACAATTATCCAAACAACTGTTTTTGTTAGTTTTTGAGATTCTTGTTGCTTTATCCACTAAAAATTCTAAACCATATGACCTTATCAATTGAGAAAACTCAGCTGTATTTTGACTATTTGTAAGGATATCTATGTTAAAGTCCCCATATATAAAGATTGATTTTTTATATTTACTTAGTTTTTCAAAAATATTTAAAAGACACTCAAAAAATATATTAAGTTGACTGTTTGGTGATCTGTACATACATATTATAATAATGTCTGGTGTTTTTACTTCAAGAGCTACAACTTCACACTGTTTTTCAATTGACAATTTGTCTATATCCACTATTTTGTTGACATTAAAGTTTTTATGTGCATAAATTAATACACCACCTCCCCCAGATTGATTCCTGCAGAAATGGTTCTTTATATTATGGTTTTGTAAATTGTAGTATTCCACAGCTTCATTTTTTAACCAATGCTCACATAAACCTATGAAGTCGAAAGATTGATCATTTATTTGAATTTCCAATTCGTCAAGCCTTTTTGATAGGCTTCTAATTTTTAGAAACATTGTTTTTAGGTATATCGTTTGTGGTGTTTTAATTTCCAAGTCTTGACTGTTCTGATTATTGACATCATGTCCTAGAATGATGTTGGGTTCTTCTTTTCTGTTTTTTTTGTAGTTTTTTTGAATGTCGAAGTTGTAACGTTTAATGTCTACATTTCTTGGCCAGAAATTTGGACTATAAAGTTCTTCCTTCTTCCTATTTTGTATAAAGATCATTTTACAGAATATGAACATTATATTTTATAAAATATTTTTACAAAAATGCATTTAGAACTAAAAAACTGATTTTTTTAAATATTTATTAAGTCAAAATTTTAACTTTTGGACTGGTACTGTTGTTAATCTCAAC